CTCTTCGATTCTGTATTCGATTCTCAAGTTTATATTAAATTTAATAGATGGGGTATACCCCACCATCATTTTTAATAATGTTCCAAACCTCATGCGATTCTGTTCGATTCTATTCAATTCCAATTTTCGGAACCATAGGTATAGAAGTGTAAGCAGGCTAGCATTTAACTTGTTGTATGCTTTTTGTACCCAAGAGATGTTGTTTCTTTTGCAATTTATATCTATTAATATATCAATAAATAAAGAAATAATGTTTACCTACCAGAAAAAAAAAAAAATAAATAAATAAATTTTAATATGCTATATATAATATAATGCAAAAATATAACAATTGAATTCTAATCTGTTATCTAATCTTAAATACATGTTATAATTGCTAGAATAATTAATAATTTAAAGCCATATGAGTTTTACAAAAGGATAATAAGCATTACTAATAGTATTTATACTAATACAGTATTACTATATAGGATTAACAAAAGATTATAGATATACTTATTTGTTATGTAAGGAATTTTATTTTATTATTTTTTTTTAATGTTAGAGTGAAGTATTACTTATGATCTTTATTAATAGAGTAAAAATTTAACTTGTTACATAATTAATATTAAGATATGAATTATATCACTATAGATATTAACCTATCACCCATTAAACAAATATATTATCAGAAAAACCCTTGAGCAGGGAGAAAAAATTGAAGCTTTTGTTAAATGTGGTTCCTGAATGCAATTAGATGTTTCAATCAGATAATGGCACTACACAAGCTATATATAACTCAATAGATTTGGTCGTGTGATAGTTGATTGGTTGGTTGATTATTTAAATATATGATAGTGACACTGATTATATGATTAAGGATGCTTATTCGGCATGCCACTCTGGTAGTTCCAATCAGTTTGTGATTGGCCAGGCTATTGTCCAAAATATATAATTGTGATAATAACATATATCCTTGGTGGTTGATAGTACGTGGTAGTAATGATTAATCAGTTAAATGGTTGGTTAGATATGATAAGTTTAGATGTAGTGATTGTTGATTTGTAAAGTTAAAGCTGTGTTGTTGTTTTTTAATTGATGATTGATGGAACGTGTTTGTTGTTTGGATATTTATTAATAGAATAGAGTCATGTAGTTGAACGGATTTCCATTTTTGATGTTGTTTACGTTAATCTTTGGCAGGTATGATGAATGTGTTTGAATATTTGGTGATGTGTGATTGGTTGAAGGTAGGATGTTGATCAGTTGCCAGGGGCAAACTGGTTACAGTTTTTTGGAAAAAAAGTTTTTGAGCAAAAATTTTAGGTTTTTGGTGGCGCAGTAAAGTGTATTGAGTGATGGTAAAAGTTGCTTTTAGTATATACCAATGGTTCCCCAGGCTAGTAATATAAACAAGATTAATATAAAAATTTGTGTTTTGAAATAAAATAAAGTCCTCCAAGTCAGGAACATGAATATTTAAAAGTGTTTGTATATTAATAAGAGGTGTTTTAATAAGAAGTATAAATGGGAAAAACCCCAAGGAAAACTTGTAAAGAAGCAACTGCCACGAGCCTTTCCTCATGCAATTCAAGAGAAAAGCAAGTTCCCCAAGCTTGCTTACTCCTGACCAGAGGTCCCATCTCGATGCACCAGTGTGCTTCTTTAGTTCCTTGAGGTTTTTGGTATTGAAAGTTAAAGAGGTATAAAGGACTTGTGGGTATTGGAAAGTGAAAGGGATATTTTCTCTAATTTTGAAAATTACTATAAAAGGAAATTTTTAGGAAAAATGTTGTGTATGGGAAAGAGTTTTTTTTTTTTTTTAAAATTAATTTTTGTATATACAGTATTATAATTTAAGAAATATATATATATATATATATATTTATTGTGAATAGGTATTAAATATGAGACTTTATTTAAATATAAATTTATTATTATTACATTAACAATCTTTACAAAATAAATTAATTGTAACCTATCGCAACTAAACTATTGATACCAGGTATCATTACAGAGATGGGCTCATACCAATAGTGCTGAATGACTAATGTTCTTTCAGAATAATAATATTACTATAGAAGTAAAAATTAATTTGTTGGTATAATTGAATGTGACATTTAACAGATTTAAGATTTTGTTAAATGTGAAATTATCATTAGTAATTGTGTTTGTTATGCTGATACTGGTTGTTTTTTTCTATTTTATTTCAGAGATTGGTAAAATTGTTGCTTTGACAGATTTTGGTTTCTATGCTTTATGCAAAATTTTTAGCATATAGTTGGAAATATGTTTTTTTTTATGAAGAAGATTAAATAAAGTGTTGAATTTGCCAATAGCCAAGTCCAGTAAAGTACTGTTTATTAACTTGAATATTGTGGTGAAATCAATCTTTTTAATATTTTTAGGATTAGAATCAAGGATGAGATTTTTCAGTTTAAGCTTTTTTTTATTTATTAGAGATTTGATATATATACAGAAAAATATATATAGGAGATTCTCTGGATATGCATTTTATCTTGGACATAAGTTGTCAAAGTAGTAGTCAGAGTAATATTTGTAAAGTTTTATTCTGGTTGGAAGTTGGTTTGCAAGAAGTTTGATTCTGAATATAAATAGTGTCTTGTATTTTGTTTGATTAGATTTTTTGAATTCTTTTACTTGATATTAGTATCATTTTTAATTTTGTTAATTTTGAAAATACTTAAATACTTTATAAAAGACTTAACATTTCAGAAACCTTTATTTTATTTATTAACAATGTTCTTATGAAGTATATATGTCAAATAATTACAGATAGACATCCCATTCAATCAATAATTATTTCTGGTGGAATTGACAAAGAGAAATACTATTATCTCTTTGATGGATTATTTTTTATGACTCTTTAATTACAATTCTAACATAACAACTATTTCACCTTAAATATAACATTATTACTTATATAAATAATATTAACCTTTTTATTATTTCTAAAACTGAAATTCAAAACAATACTAATATGTGCAAAATACTAATATAGTGCCAAAATTTTTTCAACTCAATAATATCAAAGCCATTTCAATCAAAACCAAATTAATTACAATAAAAAGTTCTATAACCGATAAAAAAATAATGTAAAGAACAATTTATATTTACTTAACACAAAAAAAAAACCAATCAGAATTTTAGAAATTTGCCTTTCTGAACAAAGTATCCTTATCTAACTGGAAAAAATTTTAAAAAACATAAAAAAAATAATCCAAGTACTCAAATCTAAATTTATAACAAACTATATAACAGCATATATTGTATTTATAGCTAGGCCCCTTTTTTATATATCAAATTCAAATTACAAACAACTTTTTTCACTCCAAACTTGTTAAAAAAAATCAACACAACAATTAAATACAAATTTAATATTGAAAGAGCTCTCTTTCTCAAACATGGTTTTACAACCTATATATATCCAATATCAATTCTATTTCAGACCTATAATTAAAAGTTCTAATCTCTAATTTTTAATACTCACTAACAGACCCTATTACAAAACCATCAAAAGAATCAGAAATCTACACAATACAAATCCAAAACTGCCTACCCCTCTGCACTTTTCAAAATTATCAAATTCTCAAACATAACATTACAACATACACAATCCAACTTGCCAATCACTACAACATCATATTCTGCAATAAAATAAATTGCCAACACAAATTTCCAGGGAAAATCATTCAATATATAAGCAACTTTCACATCATAAAAATTGGTTTGTCTTTGTAAACCATCTCTCCAAAAAATATCTTCTACATTGAACAAATTTTAATTTATAATGACAATAACATCACAAGTTAACAACGCATCTTAGCAAAACTTGGTCACAATACTTCTGGAAAAACTCTTCTTTGGTTCAAATTTCTCTTATAACTACAATTTCAACAAACAGATACAAATCAAATCAAATCAAACAAAAAAAGATAATAGATAGTGACCCTGTTTAATAACAAAATAAAAATAGGAAAGAAACAAAAAACAAACAAAAATAATCTTCTTATCAACCACTGGACCTATAACAATTCAGATCTCAACAGATCAATAATTCTATCCAAATGCACAGGCTGTCCATTAAACATTCATGCAAATACTTACAAATGTCAACTCTTAGTTCTCTCAAACTCTCTCAATCTTTTTATCAAATCTTAGCCTACAATGATTATTAGCGAAATTATCTATTGTAGAGCGAAACTTCTGAAGTATGTTTAAATCAGAATTGGATAGTTATCAATGATATGGTATTTTTTTTTGATAATATTAACAGTCATTTTCAAACGAGCTTTACGTTGTTCAGCATTCTCGTTCAATCTCTGTTTTCTTTTTTTATCACGAATTCGACGAAGTATGCGTTATTCAGAAGTCACATTTTTTCTGCTTCTACGTTTTCGAAGAGTATAACGATGAGAAATGTCATCCGTTTTATTAAAATATTTCGTATTAGAATGACAAATATCGAAAGATAAAAATAAAAGAAAAGCCTATTAATAAAATCAATTAAACAAATATTGATATCATTAATGATTAATAATAATTTTCCGAAGTAATTTAACTGCCCGTAAGAAACTTTTGGGTATCTGTGTTTGGGCTGATCGCGTTTTCATAATAATTTCTATTATCTAGTAATAAAACTGCGATGCGGACGTCATAATAATAACGTTATAAGACAGAAATACGCGTATAGACGGACCAACAGTGCATAATAATAAGAAAACTCCCCCCCAAAAAAGATTCGTGGAACACGCGTGCGGACAGACAGAGAATCCGTAAGAAAATTTCTAACCGCTAATGTCCTTCGGACGATAACTAAAATCTAGTTTTCTATGTAGAATATGTCCAAAACTTTTTCCATATAACATATGAGGTTTCTTGAGAGCGAAGTCCCATAGACTTATTTTCTGCGCTAGATGTTTCTTATTCGAAACCATTTCGATATCCGGAATAATCCACTCTCGATCTGAAGAAAATGAGAAGAAGACATAACGAAAAAGAAAGTGATCGACATTCTTTTTGATATCTTTATCTTTGTTGACAATTTTTATGATATTTGACCTATCAAAGTAATTAATTTCCATTAAAGGAGCATCTTCATTTTGTGGAAATTCAATTAAAGTACTTAAGAAGCAGATTGAAAAATTAGATGGGCAAGATAGCTTGACATAATATTCTTTCTCGTCAGGGAAAAAATCAATTTTCACTTCTTGCTCGCCCGATAAGTCAAGGTCTCGAGTATTGATGCTATAAAATCCGACCACTTTAGGGATCCCCATCATTATCCAGGAAATATTATAATCAAGTATATTTTCATTATCCAACCTAGTTTACGATTTAGGAAATGCGATTAATTAGTTGTAAAAAAATAACGTATTATATATGTAATTTGAAGTAAATATACAAACCTTTTAAGTGTTGCCTTAAATCCATATTTTGTAAAAGACTTAAATTGAACAATTAAATTTTTCAAGTTCTCTAAATTACTATTTGTAATGAATCCGAAAACCTTATAGTTGTTACTTTGTAATGGTGCGTCGAATTCGACTTCATAATCACTAATATTTATGTCATCAATTTTAATATAACCAGTCATTAAGACCTGGTTTTCTTCTGCAAAACATTTTTTGGTATTCTTGTACATTAAAGGATCGAGAATTTCATAAGTTGGCTTCAGATCCGAATACTCGACGATTTCAAGTTGCAAATCATCCTTCGCCATCCATTTTTCTATTTGCTCGATTTTAACACATCCCTCATTTCCTATTAGGTAGGTTGAATCAAATCCATATAACGATACAATATTTTTCCATTTATTTAAAATACTACGGAACTCGCCATCATTTTTGTGGGCAGTCTTTATAAAATGATTAGCGTTTCTATATGGAACCGATGAGAATTCTTGGCAATTACGTGTCAGTTTCTTTCCGATAATTATTTTGCAAGGAATCAAGTGCCCAAATTTTTCAAAAACTTTGCTCAATGAAAAATAAGGATTCATGCTTTGCAAAGCGTTTTCTACCGATTGGGTTAATTCTTCAGATGGCCTGATGTCGTCAAAGCTTATTTCAACCAACGGAGCTAAAATGCTGCAATGTATAGCTCTATATGTGTCAGCATTAAAACCGAAAATTGATGGTATAATATCAGGAATAATAAATTGTATATGCTCATAAAATTCTTGTGCCTTCTGTTCCGAGATTGACACTCCATTATTCAGAAAATAAGAATATACATAAGAATTTGTAGTAAACAATTCAATATCAAAGAGCCTACTTGGATTGACGTGTCGGATTTTAGAAATGGCATATATATTAAAATATTCCTCATTCGTTTTAATTAATCCTCGTTTGTTTACAATTAATCCAAGACGACATTTAAGTAGTTCAGAATTATCTTTATCCTGAAAAGGATTTACCATTAACAAATTAATGGCATATTTTCTGTTATAAATTTTCTTGACAAAGTAATCAATACCTACCTTTGAGTAATATTCTCTAATTCTGTCATATAAATTCGACGAGAATGTATTCTTAAGTGCTTCAGCTGCCGAATTACCTAAACTATTCAAATATAAGTTCGATTCAGTCGGGGTGATACTCTTTAATAGTTGCTCAGCTAGTACTTTTCCTCTCAATTCCCTTAAAATATCAGTGTTTAAATTAAAATTGGCCAGGGTGGTATTCTTGCATAAAGCTTCAGCCAGTGCCTTTACTGCCGATTCTCCCATTGAATCATAACTTATATCTAATGCGGTCAGGGTCGTATTATTGCATAGTGTCTCGGCTAGTGCTTTTTCTACCGATTCTCCTATTCTATTCTTACTTATATCTAAATTAGTCAGTGTGATATTCTTGCATAGTGCCTCGGCTAGTGCGTTCTCCTCTGATTCTCCTATACTATTCCAACTCATATTTAACTCAGTCAGGGTGATATTCTTGCATAGTGCCTCGGCTAGTGCTTTTCCTCCCGATTCTTCTAAATTATTGTTATATAAATTTAAATTGATCAAAGTGATATTCTTGTATAGTTCCTTGGATAGTGCTTTTCCTGCTGATTTTCCAATAATGTTATACCGTAAATTAAATTCTGTCAGGATGAAATTCTTGAATAACACCTCGACTAATTCTTTTCCTTCTAATTCATCTAAATTATTATTCTTTAGATTTAAATTGGCTAGGGTAATATTTTTGAATAGTTTCGTTTTCGAAAATAAACCACGGAGGTATTCTTGAAAGAGAATATTGTTTTCTACAAGTTAATGATAAGAATATTGTCATGTGTACAAAAAATGTAAAAATAATCATGCATTATCATTAGAGTAACTTACTCGAGATAATAAAATTTATTACGCACTCATTGTAGGTGCCAGTTTCCTGCAATTGTTTTTCGTCGTTTTTGCGTAATTTGTGCATTATCGTATAATAAGGTTGCTCTACAAAATTTCATTATTTCGTAAAGTTATAATAGATAGTAATTATGAAATTACACTATAATATGTTTAAATCAGACTTACGAACTGTGATATCGAAAAGAAAAATTAAACTTGATTTTTTTACATAATTTGCATAAATAAAAGGTACTATATATAGTAAAAACAATAAAAGTAGTGATAGGTTTTAAGTTATTAAAAGAACAAATAATCAAAATAAATAGCATTGAATAAAAAAATTTTGTTACTTTCTTTGAATAATTTTCATTGAATTTATTTGCTCTGGAATATCAAAGTTGAAAAGATTAATTGAATGTTTCTGTGTGGCATTGAAAGCTGAGATTGGCTCTATATTTGCGCTTTCTTTAATTGGCATAACAAATTTTGAATTCATATAGCATCTAAGATAATTCTGTGCATTAAACCGGTTTCTTGATTTAGAATCTGGCGCAAAATCACAAAATTTTTTTGTAAAGTTGATTTTTAAAATTTTATACACTCCATTTGCAACAAGTCGTTTTTATAGATCAGTGTGTTGACATTTTTTATCAATTCTACTATCAAAAGGGGCATACCTCGAATTTTTGATCGCTTCATCTCATATATTCCCATGAAAATGATTTTGCTTTCTTTCTTGTTATCATAATCAATATCTTTAAAAAAGTATGAATAAGTATCTGCACTTTTTGAATATTCTTTTTTATGGAAAACCTCGGGCGCTACATATGGAAAAACACTGCATTGTTTGACATCTTTCGCCCTATGATTAGCTAGTTTGCAGAAACCAAGATCTGTAATGAGAACATTATTATTTTTAGAAAAAAGAATATTTCCAGGGTGAAGATCTTGATGAATCAATCCAGATTCGTAAAATTTGTATAATCCAGGTGCAGTTAAAGACAAATGCGTGAAGTTTAGATCTTTGTCTCTAGTGATTCCATAAAATCGAGTAATTTGACAATCTCTATTGTTAAATTTATGAAGGCCTTTTTCCTATTAAAGTTATATTTGTATTAATAAATCTTAGTTCAATTAAATGGTGCACAAAGCGATGAAAAACTTCATTGCGTAAAAAACATAATTATTGCCTCTTCCAGATATTCCTTAGATTTCTCTTGAGAGTTATTAAAGCATTCATTTATTATCTCAGATCTCTCCCATCGATCATCTTTTTTCCGAAACTCAAACTCTACTTCCTTCAATTCGGCAAAATAGACTTTCGAAAAACCACCACCAATTTTTTCAATCTCATTATCTCCGCTTGTCCATTCATCAAATTCTTTTTTAAAACGAAACGAATTACAAGAATGACACCAGAACTTATCCGTAGTTTTTTCTCCACATTGGTTGCATACATCTAAATAATTAAATTATGTACATTAATCGCTCAAGATTTATAATAACATCAAATGATATTTAATTAAGGCAACAAATTATTAATAAAATAGGTATACCGGCTAAAAAGAAAATAATATAGCTCAGATCAATGGATACAAACTCCCAAAAAATATTAATGAGAATATGCTTACCGTCTGTAGCCGTAATTAAAGTAAAAAATATAACCCAGATCAATTAAAATACATCTTATATAAATTAATCGACAATAATAATAAATATACTAACAATCTGTAATCATGGTCAAAAATAAATCAGATCAATTAAAACACCTTTGATTTGAATTTACATAATAAATGTTAATGGAATTCACTTACCATCTGTAATCGTAATTAAAATAAAGAATATAAATCAGATCTAGTAAAACACCTTTGATTGAATTTACAATTTTTAAAAACATGCTTACAATCTATAATCGCAATTAAATAAAGAACATAGTTCATATCAATTAAAACACCTTTGGCATGAATTTACATAATAAAATATTAATAAAAATTCACTTACCATCTGTAATCGTAATTAAAATAAAGAATATAAATCAGATCTAGTAAAACACCTTTGTTATAAATTTGCATTTTTAAAAATATGCTTACAATCTGCAATCGTAATTAAAACAGAGAATATAAATCAGAACCAGTAAAACACCTTTGTTATAAATTTACATTTTTAAAAATATGCTTACAATCTGTGATCGCAATTAAATAAAGAATACAATTCATATCAATTAAAACACCTTTGGCATGAATTTACATAATAAAATATTAATAAAAATCCCCCTACCATCTGTAATCGTAATTAAAACAGAGAATATAAATCAGATCTAGTAAAACACCTTTGATATAAATTTACATTTTTAAAAATATGCTTACATTCTATAGTCGCAATTAAATAAAGAATACAATTCATATCAATTAAAGCAACTTTGGCATGAATTTACATAATAAAATATTAATGAAAATTTTCCTACCATCTGTAATCGTAATTAAAATAAAGAATATAAATCAGATCTAGTAAAACACCTTTGTTATAAATTTGCATTTTTAAAAATATGCTTACATTCTGCAATCACAATTAAATAAAGAATACAATTAATATCAATTAAAACAACTTTGGCAGGAATTTAAATAATAAAATATTAATGAAAATTCTCCTACCATCTGTAATCATAATTAAAATAGAGAATATAAATTAGATCTAGTAAAACACCTTTGTTATAAATTTGCATTTTTAAAAATATGCTTACAATCTGTAATCGTAATTAAAACAGAGAATATAAATCAGAACCAGTAAAACACCTTTGTTATAAATTTACATTTTTAAAAATATGCTTACAATCTGTGATCGCAATTAAATAAAGAATACAATTCATATCAATTAAAACACCTTTGGCATGAATTTACATAATAAAATATTAATAAAAATCCCCCTACCATCTGTAATCGTAATTAAAACAGAGAATATAAATCAGATCTAGTAAAACACGTTTGATATAAATTTACAATTTTTAAAAATATGTTTACAATCTGTAACCGTAATTAAATAAATATAATTCATATCAATTAAAACACCTTTGGCATGGATTTCCACAATTAAATATTAATGGAAATTCACTTACAGTCTGTAATAATAGTTAAAACAAAGAATATAAATCAATTAAAACTCCTTTGATATAAATTTACTTAATAAATATTAATAAAAATATGGTTACCATCTGTAATCGTAGTTAAGAATATAAAATCAGCCCAATTAAAATATCTTTAATATAAATTTAATTAATAAATATCAATAAAAATATGCCTACCGTCTATAATTGTAGTTAAAATGAAGAGCATAAATCAGATCCATTCAAAGTCTTTTATATAAGTTTTCTAAATAAATACTAATGAGAATATGCTTACCATCTGCGATCGTAGTTAAGTAAAAATATAAAACAGCTCAATTAAAAAAATCCCTTTGATATGAATTTACTTAATAAGTATCAATGAAAATATGCTTACAGACTTATTCGTCGTTAAAGTAAAGGTATAAAATCAGATCAATTAAAACACATTTGATGTTAATTTTACTTAACAAATATTAATGAAATATACTTACCACCTGTAATCGTAGTTAAAGTAAAGAATATAATTAGATCAATTCAAACTCCATTGATATGAATTTACTTAATAAATATGCTTACCCCCTAAAAGTAAAGAATATAATCAGATCAATTAAAACACCTTTTTATATAAATTTACTTGATAAATATTGTTGAGAATATACTTACACCCTAAAGTAAAGAAAATAAATAGGGTCAATTAAAACGCCTTTAATATGAATTTAATGAAAATCCATTTACCGTCTGTAATAGTAGTTAAATAAAGAATATTAATAAGATCAATTAAAACACCTTTGATATTAATTTACTAATAAAAATATGCTTACAATCTGTAATTGTAGTTAAAGTAAATATTATAAATCAGATCAATTAAACAGCTTTGATATAAATTTATTTAATATATATTGATGAATATTATTACCGTCTGTAATCGTAGTTAAAGTAAAGAATATAATCAGATCAACTTAAGCATCATTGATATAAATTTACTTAATAAATATTAATAATAATATTCTTACAATCTGCAATCGTAGTTAAAGCAAAGAATATAAATAATATTAATTAAAACACCTTTTATATGAATTTATTTAATAAGTATTAATGAAATATGCTTACGATCTGTAATCGTAGTTAAAGCAAAGAATATAATTCGGATCAATTAAAATATCTTTGATATGAATTTACTTAATAAATATCAATGAAATATGCTAACCGTCTATAATTGTAGTTAAAATAAAGAGTATGAATCAGATTCATTCAAACACCTTTTATATAAATTTAATGAAAAAATATTAATGAAAATATGCTTACCGTCTATGATCGTAGTTAAAAGTAAAAATATAAAAGCAGTTCAATTTAAAAAACGCCTTTGATATGAATTTACTTAATAATATAAATGAAAATATGCTTACCGTCTTAATCGTAGTTAAAGTAAAAAATATAAAATCAGATCAATTAAAATTCTTTTGATATAAATTTACTTAATAAATATGATAAAAATATGCTTGCCATCTGTAATCGTAGTTAAAGTAAAAATATAAAATTAGACCAATTAAAATTCCTTTGACATTAATATACTAAATAAATATTAATGAAAATATGCTTACCGTCTGTAATCGTAAAGAATATAAATCAGATAATCAAACCACTTTGATATGAATTTACTTAATAAATATTAATGAAAATATGCCTACCCCCTAAAAGACTCAGATCAATTAAACATCTTTGATTTGAATTTACTAAACAAATATTAATAAAAATATTCTTACCGCCTGTAATCGTAGTTAAAGTAAAGAACACCTCAAATAAATTAAAACTCCTTTGATGTAAATTTACTTAACAAATATTAATGAAATATGCTTACTCCCTAAAAGTAAAAAATATAACATAAATAAATAAAACGCCTTTGATATTAATTTACTAAAAAAAAAATTAATGAAAATATTCTTACCGTCTGTAATCGTAATTAAGGTTAATATGGCTCAGTTCGATTAAAACATGAATTAGCATGATAAATATAAATGAAAATATACTTACCATCTACAATCGTATTTAAAGTAAAGAATATAACTCATCAATTAAACATCTTTAATAGGAATTTACTTATATCAATGAAATACACCTACTCGCTAAAAATAAAGAAAATAACTCGGATCAATTAAAACATCTAACTTAACAAATAGCAATAAAAATATGCTTACCGTCTGTAATAAAATTAAAGCAACTCGAATCAATTAAAATATATCTCATATAAATTTACTTAACAAATATTAATAAAAAAAATGCTTACTCGCTAAAAAATATAAATTATATTAATTATAAACATCCTTATATGAATTTACTCATGAATATTAATATAAATATGCTTACTCCCTAAAAGCAAAAATATAACTCAGATCAACTAAATAACTTTGGCATTAATTTGCTCGACAAATATTAATGGAATCAAATTATACCTAAAGATGATTTATTCATTTTTCGAGCAAATGCCATCATAAAGCAATATTGGTACAAATACAATGATATGTATTGTATGGTGCTCCGCAAAAGTCGGATAAAAATCGTATGGTATGTTGCACAGGGAATGATACCATGTGACTAGGTCGAGCTCTATTGGTTA